ATATATATATAATACAAAAATAATTAAAGGCCTCTTATGGAAGTTTGGCTTTAGGCCCAATAGTATTGAGCCGCTCCTGCTCTTGTCTATTCCAATATCCATTACTTTAAGGGTTTGAATTAGATATTGAGATTCGAGGCAGAACATCTTGTTTGTTGTCTTGATATATAGCTGCATATATGTGGCAAGGAATTGAAAGTTTGTACTGAAAAAGATAGTATATAATTGTTGGAGCATGTGACTATCATATCTTAAAGTTTAAGATGCTGGATAGAGCACACTTATTATTTAATTGATTATGTTTTCAACATACCCATTTACGTGCAGATTTGATTCTTTTTCATGAATCAATCACTTGAAAATTCTATTTGATAATAAGTACGTGACAGTTACTACTAGAAAATTGTCAAAATCCGTCCACAGAATACCGATCGAAATCGATCGAAGAAAACCGATCAAAATCGATCGAAAATTCAGTAAATTGGTCGTAAAAGTCAAAGAAAATATTTCTGATAACGAAAATAGTGGTCCCACAGCAAATATATAGAAATTCCGATCGATTTCGGTCGGAAATTGGTCAATATTTGACCAAGTGTCACGACCCGAAACTCCCACCTTGGCACCTAACATTTCACTTGCTAGGCAAGCCAACGTTAGAGAATTTCCAAATCAACTTCGGTACACTTTTAGTAACAGAATTTATTAAGCTAAACAGAGTTTGCGGAATATTATAAAAACTTCAATATTTACTACCACCCGGATCTGGAGTCACAATTCACGAACTTCTAGGATTTACTACAAATAGAAGTCTGAAAGGAATACAACTGTTTGAGTGAAAGAAACAGTAATAACAGAAAAGATAGACGGAGACTTCAAGGTCTGCGAACGCCGACAGATCTACCTTGAGTCTCCGATGATTCTCCGATGAACCAGTCCGAGCTGCTACGCCTCTTAATCAGCTAGGACCAATACCAAAATCTGCACAGAAGTGCAGTGTAGTATCAGTACAACCGACCCCATGTACTGGTAAGTGTTGAGCCTAACCTCGACGAAGTAGTGACGAGGCTATGACAAGACACCCACATAATAAGCCCATGCAATTTAATAGAATATGTACAAAATGACGGCGATTGAAAGATAGACAGATAATATCGGAAGGGGGAAACATGCTGAGGGGATTACAAGATAGAGAATCACAACAGTAACGAGGGCCTGATCAACCAATATACCTTAAACCAATAACAACAATTAAACACAGTAAAGAAAAATGCACGGTATCACCCTTCATGCTTTTACTCTCAACCTCACCATATAATCAATAGAAAAGGCACGACATCACCCTTCGTGCATTAACTCTCATAACATGGCACGACATCACCCTTCGTGCATTAACACTCACAATATGGCACGGCATCACCCTTCGTGCATTAACACTCTCCCTTACCATAAAGCAATGAACAAAAGACAACAGGGAGATAGAAATAACAAGAACAAGTCTTACTTCAACATTTGGTTCCACAATACCAACCTCAACTTTGAATTCAATACTCACTTATCACCAAACAATCCCCAAAACAAAATAAGAATGATCAACTACATTGTACTAGTCTAAACATGGATAACATGACCAAAGAAAGCAATAAATACAAGAAACCAAGTCCCACCCGCATGCTTTAACCCGTTAACAACGTATAGGTACTCGTCACCTCACCTATACGTTGTACCCAACATCTTAACATGTAGCAATTAGGCAAATAAGTCCTAATCCCTCAAGTCAAGGTTAACCACGACACTTACCTCACTCCAAAGACCAAGCTCAAATCTCAACCACCGCTTTGCCTTTCAAGCAAGCCTCCGAACCAATAGAATCTAGCAATTTACCAACCAAATGATTCAAATTAAGCCTTAGGAACTACCCACGATTGTAAAGAATTCAATTTAGGTCATTATGAAAAAGTCAACACCCGACTCGCTTGGTTCAAACCCGAAATTCGGACCAAAAACCGATTACCCATTCACCCCCGAGCCCGGTTACGTGATTTGTTTTGGAACCCGACCTCAATTTGAGGTCTAAATCCCCAATTTACCGAATCCGTGATTTCTACCCAAAAACCCCCAATTCCCACCATGAAAACTCAAGATTTTAGGTTGAAATCTAAGGAAAAGTAGTGAAAGATTGAAAGAAACTAGTTTAGAATCACTTACCAATGATTTGGGGAAGAAAAGTTCTTTGAAAAATCGCCCCTAGGGTTCTTGAGTTTGAAAATTTGAAGAATGAATCAAATTTCCCGTGTAAATCATATTTACCCAGCTGCAGATGTCACATTTGCGACTCGGGCTTCGCAAATGCGAAGGAACCATCACAAATGCAAGCCCTTCAAACTTCTGCTGCCTTCTCAAATGCGAAGCTTAGTTCGTAAATGCGAACATGAACCTCCGCAATTGCGACTCAATGATCGCATTTGCGATCACTGCCCTCCCCAGACTTACTTCGCAAATGTGAAGAATATTTCGCAAATGTGAAACCTGTGTGGCCCAACTACTCTTTGCATTTATGAGGGGTAGCCCGCAAATGCGAACCCCTTAGAGGTCGCAAATGCGATGCCTGATCTCGCAAATGTGAGATCAGAGGCCTGCAACAGAACTGGAAATACCAGCAACATTTTCTAAGTCAAAATTCACTCCGTAGCCCGTCCGAAACTCACCCTAGCCCTCGGGGCTCTAAACCAAAAGTGCACACAAGTCTAAAAATATCATACGAACTTGCTCGCGCGATCAAATCACCAAAATAACTCCTAGAACTATGAATTTAGCACCAAATCAAATGAAATTCTCAAGAAAACTTTGAAATTTCTATTTTCACCACCGGACGTCCGAATCACGTCAAACCAACTCCGTTTCTCACCAAATTTTACAGACAAGTCATAAATATGGTATTGGACCTATACAGAGTTCCGGAACCAAAATACGGACCCGTTATCCAAAAAGTCAAACTTTGGCCGAACACTCAAATTCATTAAGCCTTTAACTTTCAAATTTCGACCAAGTCCGATATCTCGGGCTAGGGACCTCCAGTTTCAATTCAAGGCATACGCCCAAGTCCCAAATCGCGATATGGACCTACCAGGACCGTCAAAACAAGAATCTGGGTCCATTTATAAAAAATATTGACCGAAGTCAACTCAAATGAAGTTTTTAGGCAAAAAT